GGGGGGGGGAGCAGGGATGGAAAGGGGTGTTGGATGTACTTCAGACGTATTCTCTGTCACGAGTCACGACATTCCGGACAAGTAAACTAGGACTGTTTCACATTTTGTCAAACTTGGGCGAAAGAAAGCTCTGTATCACACCAAAGTGCAGCTTACGAAAATATTATCTTTCCCCGCACTTATCCCCTTGTAATCGCCCGTATTCAGATTTGGTAAGCCCTTGGAACGTCGACATCATTAGAATTTACCTAAGCCTTTCTTTCAACGAGAGTAATCCAAATACTCTGGACAAATTTTGAGTATCTAGCAAGGATGTGCGACTAGCGGTTTTATCACAGTGACATTTTGAGAATACAACGGCGCTCATGTTTCGGGTTACTGTCTTTTACGAAGTTTGCAACGACTCTGCGCGACGCTTTTGTTCCTTGTAATCCTTCGGAAAATGTTCTTGTCATCATTGTCAGAATAACGTTTTACAATTTTGTGATGGGACTAGTTCAGGAATGTTGGTCTTTGATAGTTGTCCTCATCTTTGTCGTCTTCTTCATTATCGTTGGTATTTTTTTCTGTCGTTGTAATGTGATGTGATGTGGTGTGATGTGGTGTGATGTGATGTAATGTGATGTGATGTAATGCTTTTGGGTCTTTGGTCTTCTACTTTTCAATAAAACGGAGTATTGTTTCTCAACCAACAACATGGTCTTGTTATAAACGTTGAGATGCTTCGGTTTTTATATCGTGGCCTTCTTATTAAGAAGAAACAACCAGCTTAGTAAACGGTGGAGATATGCATGGAGAAATTTTCTCATCTTCATGTGACATTTTTAGTCGTGTAGACATTCTTCTGAGCACGTATGTGGTTCAAGTTCATGTATATAAACTGTATCATTTTTTCCCAAGACGGAAAGACTGTCACCAGACACCTCTTAAACGAAACCACATTCGTGGCAAGAATGGAATGTCGTCCGCTATTTTCCATGGGAAGAGTTAAATCCAACGTAGGTTCGGTCATAATGAAATGATTATCGGCCACACGCTAGAGTTCACTCGGGCAAACAGTCCTCCCTAGGCTTGAGCTGGGCCGGAGTCTCCCGGGGCATGCAGGGACCTCGTCAGATCGTCCGGACGGCTCTGCTGGTATGTCCTCTCGTGCAAGACAAACACAGATGTTTGAAAAAGTGGAAGAAAAACGCCGGGACACACTTCAGAGCACGCATGCCAAGAGGGGATCTCTTTGGGCAAACAGCCCCTGAGAAATGCCTGTCGAGATTCGAATGCAGACGGTGTATCCGATGCGAAAGTCTGTCGGAGTCGCGTGGAGGAGCGCGTTGCACCAGGTTGCTCTGCTGTTGACTGCCGTGTGGGGCCGGAGATAAAGATGGCCGCCGACAGGAAGTCACCGAGTCTGCGTCTGCTTGGTCCATAGAGTTGCGACAGGGGAAAGACTGTGCACTGACAACAGCTACGTCACAGCTCGTTGAGAGCACGAGTCTGCTACGATACTGGGCATAAGACAAAGCTCTTTGTGATGAAGAGTAGATCTAGGTAGTGTCGTAGCCATTGGCAATGCCGTAGTGAGGGTTCTGATACTGTCATGAGTAGTGTTCTCGATTTCTTACCACTGCTGCTACCTTTGTTTTGTGGAAATCGAAGGAATCGCAATTTTAGATTGTTTCCCTACACAAATTGAAGACGTTACCATTTTGTCACATAAGC